GTTAGGGCGGCTAGGAGCTGGAACCAACTTCCTAGGGAAGTGGTGCTGGCTCCTACCCTGGGGATCTTTAAGAAGAGGCTTGATGACTACCTGGCTGGACTCATTTGAGTCCAGTCTTTTCTCCCGCCCAGGCGGGGGGTAGGACTTGAAGATCTACAAGGTCCCTTCCGACCCTACTTCTATGATTCTATGAGTGTATGAACATCGGTTATGGAATTATCAGTGCTGAGGGCTAAAGGTTTCAACTTTTTATTCTCCTGTGGCCTATAGGCAGAGGAACCATGTCTGTGGAAATGCAGCTTAACACTTTAAATTACAGTTCAAGGGCCAAATCAGTCGCTAATTCTACTGGACAAGTTCCAAATTTTGACTGAGCAGAGCAAAATTGTTCAAGACTGCGTGGCTCTACCACTGGCCAAGTATTCTTCCTCCCAGACTGGGGTTTTGAATACTCCCAAAATCCATGGCAGGCATTCCACGTGCAAGCCCAGAGGCTTTGGGGTTTGGATGCCTGCCCCAGTCTTGCTTGCTCCAAGTCAAAAGGCCAAAGAGCAAGCCATGGGGAAAATGAGAATGCAGTCCCCCATTGCCACAAAATTGTGTGCTAGAGTTTCCTGCATTTGGGGAATCTTGCGGGGGTCAGCTTGTCTGGAGTGCAAGAGGCAAGCCTCATCCTGTAACTACACTTGATCAACTGAGAGGCTCATGGGATTTCCCTCTCCTTCATCCTGGTGTCTCCCCTGCCACTGTAACTGTTTCATGTGCTTGCTTTCCTGCAATGAGTGAAGCTACAACAGGGCTGAAACAGCTCCTTAAGTTACTGTGGTTAGGTTTCCACTTCTGCAGGATGGAGCATACACATGAAATGGGTAAAATGGATCAACACTATGAATCCCCATTCCATTTTTAGTTGGTATAATTGTTTACATTTTCCATACACACTGTTCGCTAGTGAGCAGTCCAGTACATAATTTTATAAATGCATTTCACATCTACCAGTTTAGTATGGCTTTTCTTTTTCCTCTCTCCTGAAACGCAATGGGTACCTATTTATTTCCAAATATGTGGGGCTAAGATATTTAAATCTTCAATCAAATTCAAAATCTGAACGGGTTTTTTAATATCCCAATACAATACTTTGCTTATGGTTCAAGCTTAGTTAACTGTTTATTTCAATTTATAATATAGTTGAATCACCTCATCTTTTAAAGCAGTTGTCAGAAAAAATATGGGGCAGCATGGTAGAATGTATTAGCCCAATACATTGTCTCCATTTTATTATGAAGCTGCTGAGGAAGCTGTGATATACAGCACTGTCATTACAGATCTATTGTTAGAGGGGTTCCACAGTCTTCTGTGCACTGCCATTAATTTATAGCAGTAAACAATATGTAGCCCTCCGACTGCAGCAAAGCAGAATCTTTTAATGAGGTGGATGTTATTACCACAATAAATCAGTGCATTCGTGTAATGTATAATTCAATGTGTGTATTCCCACTGTAACTTCTCTGAGTAAGCTGATAGTGTATCATTGTCAGTGCACAGCTCCATGGTTCTTTTTTCCCCTTAAGCTTTCTTTCATTTGGGGACTTTTTTTTTTATTTGCTTGCAAATAAATGTGACATGTCTTGATAGTTGTCCTATTGCAGGCTTCAGAGACCGACTGTAACAATAACAGCCAAAATCAATACTGTGGATTCTGGGTGTATGGATCTCTGCAAAACACTATTTTTTTTTTCCAGAAGAGAATGAAATCAATCGTAATTGGTTTTAGCTTTATATTTAAGGAGTATAATTCTATAACTATTGATTTGGGTTGTGCTCATTTGGAGAGTAATAAAAATAGGAGCAGATAATGTGAATACTTAAAATACTACAGAACTATACAGAAGCAGCATTGATTCTATTTTTAATTCATACAATTTATCTATTGTAATCTTTTTGAATCAACCATAACTGAGCCTATAAAAGCAGTGCAGGTGGAGATTCCAAAATGATTCTGGAACAAAGAAGATAGTTCTTGAAGTCCGTTTCATTCTTCCCTGGAATACATTTGCTAAATCAGATAAAATCCCTTTATGCAGAAACCAGCCCTTTAAAAGGATTATATTTCAAATTAGTGGACTGCAAAAACAGCAATCAACCTAAGATGTTTTCTTTATCCAATTGCAAAGTGAAACCGTTTTAAGTAAGATAATGTAAGATAAGATCTGAAGTCCTTCATAGATCTGATCTGTCATCTAGAACAGAAACAACTTGCAGCATATCTAATACTATCTGAATAGAAGACTATGCTTTGATAGTAGTAATCAGATAATTAAAATATTTCTGAAATTCTAAATATAATACTGGACTTAATTTAGAATATAAGCTTTTTTCTAAATTTGTATCTAAGAAAACCACTGTATTTTCACTCATGCAAAAGGCTCGGTTATTAATTGTCAGTTTTTCTGAAATTGAGTATTTTTTATACCTTGTGTAAATATGTTTTGTTAATTTCATCTTTGCAAGATCAGAAGTGTGAAAATATTTTGCATACATATTTCCAGTTACAAGCAGTAGTTCCAGAATCTGTTTAGGTACACATTTAAATTAATAATAAGAATTGTACTTATAGTACAAATGTCCATCAAATGTTGCATACATGGTATATATTGTATCTACACGGTACAGTGCCAAAGTATTTTAGATTTTAAAGTATTAGATAGATGACATTGCTAACACCTTGTTTAGGTTTCTTAATGCTTTATGTGAAGCATAGTTATTTCACCAATACATAACTCCTAAATCACCATTTTGTATTTTTTTACATTAATTAAACCCCAGGGTATTTTTTGTGAATGAGAGCTTATGCAAAAGCTGCAATCTTGATGAAAACTAGTAACTCTTTCTAATAATCAAAATTGCATTTTAATTAATTTGATTTAATTATCTTATATCAGCAATTTCTGGCATAATATCTGTTTCACTAATTTCTCTTATGAACTCTTTCTCCTTTCCCTGCGTTACATGCAGACATATTTTCTCATTTCTCTTGGGACTGGTGATTATGAAAACAAAAACATTAACACTAATACCAAAATTGCAACTATGCTGTTGCCATTCTTCCACAGTGTTGATTAATTTGTCACCTTTCCTGAAACATCAAGATCCAAAAACATGTTGCTGGTGGTTGCTCACAACTCATTCAGTAGTTCTTACTGCATCTATAAATACCACACAGTTAACATCCACTTTGTGTAATGTTGTGTAATGCTCGTTAGTGACTGGTTAAAGCTGGTATCTGACAGAAAGTATATTGTATTGGTGAAAAGTAACAGCTTTTGTTATCACCTGTATGTATGTATGTATATATGTATGTATGATCCACTTTTGAAATGCACATCTCTCTTCACCCTCATATCCACTGAATGAAACACTGTCTGCTTTTGCCCAAGACAAACAAGCAAGCAAAAACCACCTAGAAACACATTTTCATGCATGCTAAGTATTATGTGTGTGGAGAGAAGTGAAACAACCTTAAGAATTATGATGATGCAGTTCTCTCTCTCTCTCTCTTTCTCTCTCAAAAAACAACCCTTTAGCCTATTGGTGCTCTAAACCCAAAGAGAGCAGCATTCTTTGCAGAGCGATATGAGTCATGGGAAGACGATCAAGTTCCAAAGTTTCACTATGGCACGCATTATTCAACTGCAAGTTTTGCACTCACGTGGATGTTAAGAATTGTAAGTACAGTTTTTAAGAATGTTTCCTTTTAAATGATACTGAAAGCAACAAATAATCAGAAACCATGAGTAAATTAAAACCCAATGGCCTAGAAGGCAATTGAGATTTTGAAGTAATTGATTGTAATCAGTAACTTTGCTTGATTTCCAAGGATAAAATCTCTTCTAAACTGCCCATAAGGTTTTAATTTTTTATGGCACAGCCTTTTCAAATCAGTATAAAAGCTTTTTTCCCCCAAAATATACTTTTCACGTGCTCTTTGTATTACATTATGCCCTTTGTATTACATTAAAAACGCTTAACTTCCTTTCTTTATGTGGTTTTCTAAATAGGAGCATACTTTGAAAACTTGTACGTTTTTATGAGTGAATTAAATTTTCACCCCTAACAAATTAAAATGAGTTGTCTTAAGATGCTCATAAAATTATACAGTGTCATAATTCTATATTTTAAATTATGCTGCCATTTATTTGAAGGTACCATTGCATATGCTCCATATTGATAATATATTGGTTAAACAGTGCATGTTTCTGTAAAATTGAAAGGTGATTTATCTTCTAGCAAGTAATTTCTTTGGGAAAGCATTAGCAGCACATCATTAATTAAAGCTTGTTAGAATGGTACAAGCATACATAAATCCTTGAAGTAATTTATAGTGCTTAGCTAATTTCTAGCAATTATCCACTAATATGTGCTTAAGTGTTCTTTAACTAAGGGGAGGCTTTTAAATCTTTTAAACATTTTTCTTTTCTAAATCATAAATTACATATTAAGTCATAACAGTGATACAATTACATGTATTGAATATTACCATTTTGCACTAGTAGATGAACCTGAATTACAGAAATATGCTTACCTGATGAAAACACACAATTATCTTTGGAAATGCTTTATAAAAAAATCATAAAAAAAATATGTATTCCCTTGAAAAACAGTTGAAACCGTGACTGACTTCAGGTTCTTTTCTAACTGCAAATATTCCTTTCAATTTTTACTTTCTTAACATACTGTGAGTCCATTCTATATTTGAAGTATGTCACATATATAAAGACAGAAGTTTCTTTAGTATATGTATGGGTGGTTACCAGAAGTAATGGTTCTCAGTTAACTCCCTACCCACTGAGAAATTAAACAATTGATGACTAAAAATATAAAATTGGCTTTTACTAAAATAAACTCTTTCTAGCAGTATCACATCATTATTTTTTCCCCTTTCACAGGAGCCCTTTACAACACTTTTCCTCAACTTACAAGGTGGGAAGTTTGACCATGCAGATAGAACATTTTCATCAGTTTCAAGAGCATGGCGCAACAGCCAGCGTGACACCTCAGATATTAAGGTATAATACTGTTTTTAGCTGTTGTAAAATCTATTAACACATCTGTATTGCATATCTCTGCATTAGAGGAGCAACTGGTGGTTGTTTTTTTGTGTGTGTGCAATACTTCCTATTTTAAGATTCCTATTTGATTTGTTGAAATAATTTGGGAAATTTTTTCCATGTTGATTGTCTGCCTCAGCCTGAATATTTTGAAAATTTTAGCCTAAATGATTCAGCTCTTTTTGATTAAAAAAACTAAGGGAAAAATACATTGTTTTATCCATTGTTAAAAAAAAATATAATGGCCTTTTCTTTGGAAAGCTCTAGGAAAGTGGTTTTCAAACTTGTTTCATGTTGCGAACTTCTAAAACATTTTAATGGAGGTGTGGGTCCTTTTGTAAATTTCAAATGGACGTGCAGATCCCTTTGAATTGTAGATGTATTCACATACTTTTGATTGATCATAGTCATCTTTCACAAACCCCTTAGACATAGTCTGTGGACACTAGGGGTTTGTGGACCACAGGTTGAAAGCCACTGCTCTAGTGCATCCATGTTTTGGAGCAGAGGTTTGAAATGTGGGAGGATCCGCCTTTGTCAGGGATATGCTTTTTGCTGTTCCTGTGCATCCATATTTGAATGATAAGCTTTTGAAAAATTAGTAGAGAATTTGAATCTTTAGTCACTAGATACACTAAATATTCTTTCCTTGCTCCATCATGCGTTAGCCTACAGCAGAGTAGAATTTTTCCAGCAGTTACAGTTCCAAGCCAATACAGGTCACCAGAACTGAGAACCAGGAGACTCTCCTTCTGTTCTCTTAATAACACTCTTCCCAATTTTGCAATGGGAAGAAAGAAGCTGCCTAATTCAGATCCAAATTCAAAGAGGATAAATTGTAGACCTACAGCAGGGGAAGGTAGATAGGGTCAATGAGCCTAAGAAAAGAAAGTGCGACTGAATATCAGATAGAGCAAGAAAGATGGATTAGAATTTGATACCTAGTGTGGGAGACCTGGACTTGTTGAGCAAGGAGACTGGGACTTAGAATAGGTTAGGGAAGAAACATGTGGGGAGGAGGGTCTGTTGAGGATCCAGTGTGGCATGGGTTTCAGGGAAATGGGGCTTGCTGGATAAGGATGCTGCACCATGGAGCTGGTAAGAACATGGGAGGCACTGAGATCAGTTTAGGATTCCAGAGAGGGAAAAGCCAGATTGGGTCCCTGCATGGAAGAATCTAACTGGTGAGGGACAACTAGAGGATATGATTTGGAATAGAAATAAATCAGCTGAAGAGTTGGAAGTAGGGAGCCAGGACTGTCTGGACAATGAGACTTGTACTGGAGATGATAAGGAGACTTAGACTAGGTCACTGCTGAAGTGAGAGTAGGACTTGCTGGACATTGAGGCTGGGATGCAAAGCCTGAAGAGTAGAGAATTGAGAATGGTTTAGCTGAGAACAATAAGACAGATTTGAGATGACAGAATGGTAACAGAATAATGAAGAACACAGGACAGGAAGAGTCAGGTTTGGAGGGATTGGAAAGAAGATGAAGGAATAGACAGAAAGGTTCCTGAGTCTTGCCAACCATCTATGGTTAGCAAGTATCTCTGAAACCCATTCATAAAGTATCCCATGGTCCATGTTCAGGATCACAAGCCACTACTGATGTCTTTTATGTAGTTAGGTCAAGTTACAGAGGTATAAAATACCATGTGATCTTTAATTAATGACTGTGTCATGATGAATATATATAGTTAATGAATCTGTATTTGTATAATGTGTACACTAATTTAGGGGAAAATTAGTTCTTTGATATCATTTTGAAAATCATACAGAGGTATAACTTGAATGGTTTGCTTTATTTTTACAAAGCTCATATGTTACAAAGCAAAAAGAATGTGTGATATTTTACAATATACAAGAGAAAGCTTAGGGACCATGTTCAACTCTGATTTACTGAGATATCCTTACTGCCTCCCCTATTTTTTTAATGAGCACACTCAGGTTCCTACTGTTTCTGTTCCCTGACAGTGGAAAGATGAAGGTGTGAAAGCTTTCCTTTTTAAGGTCTTCAGTTCCCATTTTACAGCCACTAAGCAATACAAAATAAAGTTCCCTCTGGAGTTGGAGTAACATTTCTTCATCATCCAGCTGAATTTTGGTGAGCTAGAGGTTAGTTGAGTAATAGAAAACTTCCTTATGCCTCCCCCAATAAGGGCAGAGTCCACAGCACTTCCCGCCAGCTCATGAAACATATAACACAATGCAGTGAAAGCCATTTTCTGTGTAATATGTTCTGAAGTGAATTCCCTCTAATCCTCTGCTGAAAAGCTGCTAGCAGCATCATTGGGAGCAAAAGACTTGAATTTTATCAAAGTGAGGAACATAATAGTATTTCACATAATATAAAAGAAAATCCTTTACATGACTAAACATGCTGATGTAAAATGCATTCATATGGACAGTGTCAACGCAGTCTAATCTGCATTCATACATTTCCTTTCCTTTTTGGGGGGCGGGGTTTGTTCTTTTAAGGCACTCCATGAACATATGCTGTGCCCATATCTTTGATAAAGTGCCCAGCTGCTTGTTATGTATTTGAATTGCTGAGATTTTCTTCTCTAGTCTGTTGTGTTATCAAAATAATTCACTTGAGATGTAATTTACTAAAAATTCTTTGAGGGGAAAAAAAGTAAAATCTCTTATTAAAAAGACATTGTCATGCGTCATAATGTGGGCATCAAGAAATTTATATCTATGTAAACATAATAATCCCATGATATCCCAATGCAAATGGCATATTGAAAATGCCGTATTCTCTTAGGAGCAGTGTTCATTTACTATACCTGTATGCAGATTATGCAGCGCTAAAGTAATGCATATTTTAAATAAAGCACCAAAAGCAAAAATATGAACAATGAAAAGGCTTTTTGCAGGATCTCCTCACAACCCTTCAGACTGAAGTCTAGATGAAGTTCTAGCTTCTTCTATAGAAAATATTTTCCCATCCTTATTAAAATCCTGAGTAACTTGTATGTGTTTGCATCTCTAACATACTTGTGCTTTCTAAGCCTAGAACGCAACTCCTCTCTTCCCCACCCCAGCAAAAAATACCCCAAACTTTTCTATAGCTTATAAATGATGCCCCAAGCCTTAGACAGGCATTACATTTGTAGTGCCAAATACCTCCTCATAGTGCTACATACACCAAGTGAGCATACAGCCATTCAACTTGGTAGCTCTACAAAGATATTGTAAGTGCTATAAAATATTTTCAGTGAGGAGTTTCTCCAATTTTTATTACTAAGTTTAATGTTTGTGCAATTACATGTAGTGCTGTAGGGGTCACACAGTTCTCTCTTCTCCTTCCTCTCCTTCAAGACGGAGGAATGGAAGAGGGGCTGGCTCCCTTATAGCCCGCTCCATGAGTTTTCAAGGAGCCTTGATGGGACCTTGCTCCCATCAACAGTGCTGGACCTTTTTTGGCCCTGTGGCTGTTGCCAAGCCCAGGCTCAGCTGATCGGCTGCTTAGTGAAGCTTTCAGTGAGGTGCCTCTCCACAGCCCCACACATACATACACACTTCCTACCAGTAGTTGAACGGTCATGGACGGAACCTTCAAATGGTAGCAGAAATTTGCTAATAGTAACTCAGTCCTCTCCCACCTCCAGACCCTTGCCCAATCCCCCAGAGAAGGTGCAGTGGGCAAGAGGCAGGAACATGGTATGGGCTAGGGTTAGTGTGAAGGAATTCCTTCTTCCACTGCAAGAACTGGTGCTCTGGCAGCAGAACTACCCAGGGTGGCAGGGGCAGCTGATCATTGACAGGCTGTCCCCTTCACCATCAGGGAAGAGGATAGATTGTCACTAACTGAACTCCCCTGTGGCTGGGGTGGGGAGGGACGGGGACAGGGGACCCAAGAAGCAGCTTCCCTATTGTTACTTTGGTGGAAAGTTTGCTTTTGAGGCAACTTTGTAGCGCTCTACCCTTGGGAGGTGGAATACTTGTACACACATACAATACAATATTTTTGAAGTGTTATGATGGTCCAAGACATTTTGTAGCACTACAAATGAACACTTGTCTATACCGTCAGAGCAATCAATCTGACTGGCTGGTGCACATTTAAATATACTGTAGTAATTTTAAATTGTTTCCATAATTATTACTATTATTACTATTATTATTATTATTATCTGCATTTTACTGAGAGTCAGAATGTGTTAAGGTTTCTTTGGTAAATTTAATTAAAACACTTTCAATCTTTCTGCTTCAATTTCTGCATCCATAAAATGAGAATGAAACCTCATTTATGGAGGTAACTATTTAGAAGAATACTTTTACAGGTTTAAGGATTGTTGCCATGATTGTGATCACAGAAAAAAAGATAAAAGAATGCTTTGTAATGGAGCAAACATTCTTTGTTGATCATCTTGATTATTACAAATTTAATTGTCCCATCAATTAAAGTCATTTTTTTCAATCACTATTATTCTCGCTATTGGTGAGGATTCTAACCCAAGATAAACGGTTAAGTCCAGACTTTCACTTGGAGTGTTCATGGAAATATGATTATATTTATATTTCTCATGTGAAAATATGATATTTATAAGTGTTTTATGCACATAGTACAGGATGGTTTACCCCTTTTAGTAGAGAGAGCCCCAACTCCAGCTGTGATTGCCAGGCTCTGGAATGTGCTCCCAACGGAGGTGGTGCTCTCCCCTACCTTGTGG